AATACATTACAATATGTTTTGGGGATCCTGATGAATAAAAAATGGGATGTTTGTCTCTCTCTATCTACTCTCGCTTCCTTCCCTCTTCCTCTCCTCTCTCTCTCTCTCTCTCTTCTCCCTCTCTCTTTCCTCTTCTCTTCCTCTCTCTCCTCTCTCTCGCCCTCTTTCTCTCCCTTCTCTCTCTGCTTCATATCTCTCCTCTCTAATACTCTCCCTCTCGCATACAAACACTACAAGTCTCTCTCTACCTCATCTCTCTCTCTCTCTCTCCCTCTCTCTCTTCTCCCTCTCTCCCCCTCTTTCTCTATCACACCGATTCCCTCTCTCATACGTCAACTCCTCTCCTCTTGCTGCATCTCATACCTCTCTCCTCTCTCATCTTCCCTTCTCTCTCTCAACAATCTCATCTCACGAATCACTCCCACGTCACTTCTCTCTGCTCGGCCTTCTCTCTCTCCCTAACGAACAACAACGACTTCTCTTCTATCACCACCATTATACGATTCTTCCTCATCACTCTTCTCCTACTCTCTACTCTCGAACAAACAACAATGATAATAAACAAAAACTCCCTCATCTACGGTCCCTCATCTCTCATCCCCCCTCTCTCTCTCTCCTCTCTCGTCTCTCCTCTCTTCTTCCCCTCTCTCTCTCTCCCTCAATCTTCTCTACCAACTCTTCACCTCACCCCACAAAACTTCTAAGTCTAGAAACTTCTGTTTGAAACCCCGTAGTACACCATATACACATGTAGGAGTTTTTATTCCCCACTGAAACTGTCGATCTGGTTCATTCAAAAAAACTCTGCAAATTTTGTTACACTAATAATTCTTTAATGTTTGGGAGTTCCTTTAAGCTATAATGAAAACATGTAAACATTTCAATTTTTTTTTTTAAACAGCTCAATTTTTTCTTGAAACTTTTGGTGGAAATAGTGGTAAATGGTATAGATGACATAAAGCCATTTTGCTCTATCTTTTGTTTTTTACAAATTACATAATTTTTATAAGGCATATATTAAAAATTTGCATTTTCAACAAACTGTTTTCGTTAAAACAATTCAATTACAATTTTAATTTTTTTGGAACATTTTTGTATGAATAGGGCTAAAATCTACTGATCAGAAGACATAAAAGCTTTGTTGCTTAAAAATTACTTTTTTGAAAATATCTCTCTCCCATTAATCTGAATATTTTTTCCGCTATTTGGTATAACGTGTATTGATAATCGGCTTCAATGATTTCTAATGAGTGTCCAAAACCAGAAAAATTTTCTATGTAAAGAGTTTCAAATTTCACATTAGTGTAAACTTAATCAAAAAATTTTATTTAAAAACGTCCTCCAAGTTTTCAATGAAAATTTCTATTTAGGCCGAATTTCTCTCTAAAATATTCTTAAAGTAATATTTCAATTCTACCATTAGCAAACTGAAAAAGTAAGAAAACAAAATGTAACATTGGGTGGCAATAGATGACGTGGCTAAGATGCATAGGACAAGAATTGACAGCTAGCCAAAACTATAGAAATTAGAAAAAATTAGTAGTAGAAAGTCTGAGCCATTCTGTAACACACCTATTTGTTTTATTTTGATTACACGTCAAGGAATTGCTACTTTGATTTGTTTCCAGTTTCTCAGAAGTTGATGGTTGATCTCAATTGAAGAAGTACTGAAGCATATAGTGAAAGTGAGTCATTTATCATAAGTGTAAAAAATGGGTAGATAAGAAACAAGATAATGCATCCTAATAATTGCTAGAGAGATTAATTTTTAGCACAGTATCTACAATACGAATGCAGGGCGTCATTTGAATCAAACGAGTTCGAGATTTTGGGCCATGTCTCCTGTCTGTTTTTCGCATCTATGATAGATTTAACAATTGAACTACAGAGTTTAATTGCTGGAATATAGGTAAACAAATAGCTTATTGTAAATCAATGTCCGCATGTCTTACTCAGTGTATTTTGATGTAAGTGCATGTTGCTGAGTATATTTACTGAAAAAGTTTTTAAATAGGTTTGCGATTTTCCATAGGGAATAATCTAGCTGCTGAGAAAATGCTTCACATAGTACAAGAAAAAAATTTGTTGTTTTTTAAATCCTTAGTAGGTTGTTTTTTTTGGAACATTTTTTTATGTCAAAAAATGGAGGTGTCAAAAAATTCAATAGTCTGGGATATCAGTGAATAGCATGAATTTAATTGTCTTCAATGCTGAAGTCAGTCAATCAATGGATCTTTAGTGATCTACTATTATTGTTATAATAAGCACTATTAAATTTTTGGTGTACTTTACCCTCACAAGCTCAAGTCTCAACCTGGCTACGTTTGGAAAAATCTAGGATTAGTCATGGGGTCACAATGAGTCTTTTAAAGCCAATAAACTTTTGTCGCATTATTTCTTATTCGTCTCAGTTTCCAGCTATATCACTGGGATCTACATTCCTCGAGAAAAGCATGCGTGAAGCCTGAGAGTTTGCAGAGCGAGAAAGCACGGAGGTCATAGAAGTACATAATAGTTTGCTTGTTTTTACAGAAATGGTTCTAGGATATATTATTTATGCATATACAGTATAATTGAAATATCCATTTCAAAATGCAGATAATATTATTAGTTTTAAAAAAAAAATAAAGTACATATTACTAATTATGTAGTAATAAACTAAATATTTAACATAAAATATGTTTTAAAAATGCATTCCGATGTGAAATTAAAACTCTAGAAACAAGAAAATTATGTGTATGGCAGGTTATTCTACCATAAACGATGTATTTATATAAACCTATAAGACCCATCCTTGTCTCGAAAGGTTTACTATACATGGGAGTGGTAATCAGTGAGAGAGTCATGCTAGAGAGTTGAGGTTTTGCTGTTGACATTGCCAAGAATGGATATCATAATAAGGTTTTGTGTGTTATTTCTTGTCACTCTACAATTGAACGCTGATTTTTTCTGCTGAAACAAGAATATCATTAACACTATATTATAATGAGATATAAAATAAAATGATATCAGTGAATTTAAACATTAATATTTTACACCTTGATATTTTTTAAATGGCATATTAATTAATTTCTTTTTGGACATAATTTTAGAGATATTGGTTGTCAGATTATTTTAAGTTCTGCCCGCGGTTGTTTTGAAATTGTTTTTGATTATTTTGAAGAATAGTCCATTAAAAAACGGTTAATTTGTTAATACTGTTCAACGCATTTATGAAGTACAATGAATTTGTTTATTCTCTAATGGCACTTGGATATAATTTGTAGTGATACATCATGATGTTATAATTGAACTCCTCTTGAGAATAAATCTCTGCTGTATCCATCACTTTGATAATTAGGAACAAAATCCACCTTGTGGAAGACATCTGGATAGGATTATGAATCAATAAACTTTAAGAAAATTATGATAGGCTGAGATTACTTTGGCACAATGTATTCGGATACTGGAATATATTTTACTAAAAGAAGTATGTTGGTCACTAAATTTTTTCACAAAAATCTCTGCGTTCTTATAATGAATTTGTCCTATTCTACAAGATAATATTGTGAAATCAATGTTATATCAGTATTTTAAATGTTATAGCATAATTTTTCATTTTTTTTTAATAATATGGAGAAGTTTTTTATGCCTCATATTATCTATAAGATTGCAAGTAAAAGTATTTAGGGTCAATGATAGCATTTTCATTTGCTTTTTATCAAATGAGATGGCTTTTATGTTCATCAGAAAACAATATCTATTTTACGTGTAGGATAGTCTCGCTATATTGTAACATTCATTGATGCACAAATAAAGACACTTTGGTGGCAGGTTTTTCTATACATTAGTTAGAGTCAAAAATTCTGCATCTGATATAGAATCTAATTTAGAGCATTAATTGTGAACTAGGCTTTTCTAATTGAATATGTAGAGAGGAATAATAAAAATCTTCAGACTTGATTAGTAGGTATTTGAGAAAAATAAAAAAAAGGCAGTATTATTCATATGTAGTCCCCCAAACTTCTATGTCTCTTCTGTTTGAACACCAGTAGCACCTATACCATGTAGGAGTTTTCCCAAACTCACTGTCGATCTGGCTTTATTCCAAACTCTGCAATTTTGTTCACAATAATTCTTTAATGTTTGGGAGTCCTTTAGCCTATAATGAAACATGTAAGACATTTCCAATTTTTTTTTTTTTTTTAACAGCTCCAAATTTTTTCTTGAAACTTTTGGTGGAAATAGTGGTAAATGTATAGATGACATAAACGCCATTTTGCTCTATCCTTTTGTTTTTTTACAAATTACATAATTTTTATAAGGCATAATTAAAAATTTAGCATTTTCAAAAACTGTTTTCTTAAAAACAATTTCAATTCCAATTTTATTTTTTGAACTTTTTGTATGAATAGAGCTAAATGTACTGAATCAGAAGACATAAAAGCTTTTGTTGCTTAAAAAATTACTTTTTTGAAATATCTCTCTCCCCATTAATATGAATATTTTCCGCTATTTGTATACGTGTATTGATATGCTTCAAATGATTTCTAATGAAGTGTCCCAAAACCAGAAAATTTTTCTATGTAAAAGAGTTTCAAATTTCACATTTAGTGTAACACTTAATCAAAATTTTATTTAAAAACGTCTCCAAGTTTTTTAATGAAAATTTCTATTTAGGCCCGAATTTCTCTTCTAAAATATTCTTAAAGTAATATTTCAATTCTACCATTAGCAAACTGAAAAAGTAAGAAAAAAAATGTACATTGGGTGGCAATAGATAGCACGTGGCAAGAGCATAGGACAAGATTGAAAAGCTAGCCAAAACTATAGAAATTAGAAAACAAATTAGTAGTAGAAAGTCTTGAGCCATTCTGTACCACACCTAGTTGTTTTATTTTGATTTACACGTCAAGGAATGCTACTTTGATTAGTTTCAGTTTCTTCACAAGTTGATGGTGATTCATTGAAATGAGTACTGACAGCATCTAGTGAAGTGATCATTTTCATCAAAGTGAAAAAATGGGTAGATAAGAAGACAAGATTATCATCCTATTAATTGCTCGAGAGATAATTTTTAGCAGTCTCAATAGATGCAGCGTCATTTGAATCAAACAAGTTGCTGAGATTTGGCCATGTCATCCCTCTGTCTGCTTTCATCTATATATACAATTGATCAGAGTTTTTCTTGAACAGTTGTTAACAGCTTATTGTAACAATGTCCCACATGTCTTACCAGTGTACTTTTATGAAGTGCATGTTGCTGAGTATATTTACTGAAAAGTTTTTAGAATAGGTTTGCTGATTTTCCATAGGGAATATCAGCTGCTGAAAATGCTTCACATAGGTACAAAGAAAAGACTAATTCTGTTTTCTAAACCTTCTACTGGTTGTTTTTGAACACTTTTTATGTCAAAAATGAGGTCAAAAAATATTAGTCGGGTTTCAGTGAATGCAGAATTTAATGTCTTCAATGTCAAGTCAGTCAATCAATGGCAGTCTTAATGTCACAATTTTCAATAAGACTATTACCTTTTGGTGGTACACTTTACCCTCACCGCTCAAGCCCAACTCTGCTACGTTTGGAAAAATCTAGGATAGTCATGGGTCACAAATGAAGTCTTTAAGCCAATAAAACCTTTTGTAGCAATTATTTCTTATTCGTCTCAGTTTCCAGCTATATTCCACTGGACTAATTCCTGAAAAGCATGGGTGAAGCCTGAGAGTTTGCAGCGAAAGCCCGGAGGTCATAGAAGCATAGTTTGCTTGTTTTACAGAAAGATGGTTCCAGGAATATATTATCTGCAAATCAGTATTTGAAATATCCCATTTCAACATGCCGATATAATAGATTTTCACTAATTATGTAGTACTAGAAATAAATATGTAAAATAAAAATAGTTTTAATGCATTCCGATGTGATTACTCTAAAAAAAATTATTGTATGCAGGTTACTTCTACCAGTAAACGAATGTATTTATATAAAACCTATAAGACCCATCCCTTGTCTCGAAAGGTTTCAACTACATGGAGTAAAAGTGGAGGTCATGCTGAACTGGGGTGATGGATCATTGGAAAGAATGGATATCATAATGGTTTTATGTGTAATTTCTTGTCACCCAATTGAACACCTGATTTTGCTGCTACAAGTCTTTAGCTTACTTATTATGAGATATAAAAAACGGGAAAATATCAGTGAATTTAAAATTAATATTGTACACTTGATTTTTTTAATGCAATATTAATTAATATTCTTTTTCTCATTTTTGAGAATTGGTTGCCATTATTTTAAGTTCTGCCCAGTTTTTTGAATTGTTTTTCATTATTTTGAAGAACTGAGTCATTAAAAACGGTTAATTTGTTATACTGTTCACCATTTATGAAGTACATGCATATTGTTTTCATGCTGGAAATTTGTGATACAAATATAAAATTGACTAACTCTTGAGAAATAAATTCTCCTGCTGTATCCATGCCTTGATAATTAGAACAAAATCCCTTCTGGCAGACATGGGTAGTATGAACAAAACTTAAGAATTTACATAGGCTGAGATTACTTTGGCACAAGTATTCGATCTGGAAATATTTACTCAAAGAAGTATGTTGGTCACTAAATTATTTCCCCAACAAAAAATCTTCTGCGTTCTTATAATGAAATTTGTCCTACAAGATAATATTGTGAATCAATGTTATACAGTATTTTTAAATGTTATACCATAATTTTCATTTTTTTTTTAATAATATGGAGAAAGTTTTTTTATCCTCATTTATCCTATATAGATTGCAAGTAAAAGTATTTAGGGTCAATGATAGCATATTTCATTTGCTTTTTATCAAATGAGATGGTTTATGTGTCATCAGAAAACAATATCTATTTTACGTGTAGGATAGTCTCGGCTATATTGTAACATTCATTGATGCCACAAAATAAAAGCACACTTTGGTGGCAAGGTTTTTCTTCATTGTTCACTCTGCATCTGACAAAAATCTATTTAAGAGCATTAATTGTGAAACTAGGTTTTCTAATTGAATACAATGTAGAAAGAATTCAAATCTTAAGATTGATGTAGGTTGTGAGAAAATAAAAAAGGACATGTTTATTAAGTAAGTGTTTTCTTTTTACAACAGGGTTATCCACGAGATCAATGTGAACATTGGCTGAGTGTAATATCAAAGACACGCCCAACAGTGAAAGAGATTCCACAGTACTGGGAGTGCCTAGCTGCCTTGGAGGAAGCTCGTGGGGACTTCAGTTCAGCTGTGGATTGTTATGGACGAGCAATTGTGAAAGGTGCCGATGCAGATGATGTTGATGAACATTTAGATGATCTCTGGGAAAAGTTCTGTACTCTCAGTGTGAATTCTGTGGAGAACAAGAGGACACCAACAAAAAAGCTTGCTGTAGATACAAAACAAATCTTCAAATCAACGGTTATAAAATTTGCATTGCAACAGAAAGCAGTGAAAAGGCAAGAATGCATTATGTTTTGTTGTTTTTTGTCTATTATTCTCTACAGTTACTTTAGCTTACCATTTTCTTTTATTTTTATGTTTACCCTGAATGAGAGTTATATTTGCTGGATTTTTAGTACTATTTTGATAAATGATAAAGCAGGTAAATTATTGAAGGTAAATTCAATTAAATTGTCCTCAGATTTTATCATGAATACCTATAGCAATATACACAATTCGTAGAAGTATGTGGTGTTGATAATGACAGTGATGTTAATAACTTCAGCATTTCTTGACACACACTTTTGGATTCTTAAGTTATTTTTCTTGTGACTGCTGAATTTTCTGAATGTTTTGTAACTATCATGATCCAATTGTACGAACATTGGAATAATGGCAAGATATATTTTTTTCATGGTTAAAAGCAAAAACAGTTGTAGAAAATCAAAATGATAAACTCAATTATTCCATCAGTTATGTTGAATGATGCTGAATACTCAAAAGTATGAGAAACTGAGATACGTTTAGCTCATCTGCTGCACGTAGATGACGTGTATGTGGGGTTATTGGTGATGAATTGATATTCATTATGTTTATCATCCCAAAGAAGAAAGTCTGGCTTTGTTATTGTACAACAAAACAAAAATTGAGTTAATATTATTACTATTGACGTGATTATTATTTACGTGATCTACAAACCAAATTCTCCCGATACCTTAAGGATTTCATTAAAAGATAGATTCAATAATAGTTATTTATTTATGTATAAAGTCCTCAAAAACTAATAGAGGATGTGTTACACATGTTTTGTTTGCTATTTCTAGGTATTCAAAATACACGTTTAACACTTTCGTGAGTTAAGAATTGTAATCACACTCGATCTGTAGCATGGGTTGTTGGCAGACGATTTTGGTACCACTTTTAAATAGCAATTGCAGGGAGCGAAAGGACTAAAAGACTGAAGGGGACAAAGTGGGGAAAGACAATGAAGAGGGCTTGGAGACAAAATGGACAAAATTGGAAAAGGGAAAGAAAAGAAGAAAATGTAGAAAGGGGACAAGTCAAACTATGAGGATGAGACATGGGACAAGATAAAGTG